AAATAAAAAAAAAAACTTATTGATGTGATGAATTGTTTAAAATTATTAAATGATTATTTTTCAAATGTATAAATTATGTACAAAATACAATTAAATATACTACTTACAGTTACTCTTTTTAAATTAAAATTAATTAAATCTTACCTTTACTCGTTTGATGTTCCCAGATTTTTTTTAAAACAAATTAGGTGTTTTAGTGTAGAATTTCCACTTCTTTTGATCATTCTTGCTATTTTAGAACCTTATGAATCTCATGTTGTTGTCGGTTCTTTCTTTAGAGTTCTTCGAGTATATCCTAGAGTGTTTTGAGATGTTATTTTGTATTTGTGAGTGTTGGAGCAAGTTCGGGATTAATGGGAGTGTATTAAGATATCTCTGGTCTCTGTTCTAAGTTGGGACTGCCCGAGCGGTATTTCTTCGTTCGAGCGGTAACGTCGACCTTCCAATATCTCATTTTATAGTTTGAACTTCTAGGAGTTTGTATTCTTTGCTTGAGTGAAAGTTTCTTCGATCGAGCGAAAGTTTCGTCGCTCAAGCAGTCTTTTGCAGGGAGGAGAGAGATTCTGGGAGTTTGAATTGTTCGTTCGAGCATGAGTTTGGTCGCTCGAGCAGTCTATCCGCAGCCTGCTCCGAAATATGTGTCTAATCACTTAAAATTTGAGCCCTTACACACTTTTATTTCACTTTTCACTTCACACTCTCTCTCTACATTTACTCTCACTCTCTTTTCTCTCAACTCTTTCTAGAACCCTCCACCTACCTTATTGACTACCTTGATCTCTCCATATTCTTTGAGATTTTGATCCTAGAGTCTTCTTTAATTTTGGAGAGCTCATCAAGGACTACGTTGTCCATAGTAAAGATCGATTTTAACATCGTTGATTTCGAAACTTTTCGGCCTTGTTTGGTTTGGCTTTGAGAAAAAGATTTTGAAGAAAATTTTTGAAAATTTTGTTTGTTTTGTAATTTTTCTCAAAAAAATTTCAAAATCACTTTCTCTCTCTTATACATCAATCAATCACTTATTTTTTTGTAACAACCCGAAAATTTAAGTCGTTTCTTAAATTTTATTTTAGTATTATTTAATTATAAATGGGAAAAATCTTAAATGTTTAATTAAATATTTCGTAAGAGTAAAATAAATTATTAAATGTTATGGGTATATGAGATAAAATGTAATTAAATTAGAGATTATATATTATCAGAAAAAAAAGGGTATATACTTATTTTAAGAATTGAACCTAAGTAAAATGACATCACAAGTTAAAAAAATAAATAATCATAAGAAATAAATAATACTAAGAATAAAATAAATAAAACAAATCTTATAATAAATCTGATAACAATTCTAATAGTGATAATAACAAATCTAGCGTGTGTGTGTTGAGATTTTGATCCTAGAGTCTTCTTTAATTTTGGAGAGCTCATCAAGGGCTACGTTGTCCATAGTAAAGATCGATTTTAACATCGTTGATTTCGAAACTTTTCGGCCTTGTTTGGTTTGGCTTTGAGAAAAAGATTTTGAAGAAAATTTTTGAAAATTTTGTTTGTTTTGTAATTTTTCTCAAAAAATTTTCAAAATCACTTTCTCTCTCTTATACATCAATCAATCACTTATTTTTTTGTAACAACCCGAAAATTTAAGTTGTTTCTTAAATTTTATTTTAGTATTATTTAATTATAAATGGGAAAAATCTTAAATGTTTAATTAAATATTTCGTAAGAGTAAAATAAATTATTAAATGTTATGGGTATATGAGATAAAATGTAATTAAATTAGAGATTATATATAGGTGCCACGTGCCTTGGTAGTTAAGCCGAGGTAATCTCGGAGAAGCCGAGGTCATCTCCAAAGATATCGGAATCCGAGATAAGGGGCAAAAGTCCTAAGGCACAAAGAGGATTGAACCAAGATAAGGATAAAACTCTCAAGGAGTTTATCTTTATCACTTAAAAGAGTCCAGAGTAAGCAGTGAACTAGAGTTCATAGAAGTCATACTTCTAGTGGGACTTGGATTGAGTATATTATAAAAGAGAGGCACCCCTGTGGGTCTAAGGTGTGTAATTTATACTTTGAGTATTCAGTTTAGTACTTGATTATCTTTGAGAGATATACTGACTTGATCGTCGGAGTGTCCCCGGGTGGAAGAACCACCGCCGGAGCTTTTTCTTTCTGTTTCAGGTTGCTTAAGCCATCTATTCTGCTTGTGCTCTCCAGCTGATCACTAGACGGGCAGTGTGGTCAGATTTTCACCCACACATTAGTTATGTTATTTATTTATGAACCTTATTTGATATACTAAGGAAAACCCATAAATATAACTGTTTATTAAAATGTATTTTGAGTAATTATTTTATAAGTACCACCACGGAGATTCTATGTCTTGGGGAACTTAAATAACCATTAGTCTTCTGATTAGTCACTTTGTGACCATCTGTTTGTCATAGATCCACTGACACTCTAATTTCTGGTATGGAGCAAAATGCTGTACGGAGCTAAGTGCTGTACTATTGTGGGAGCCACCTCTAGAGTTCGTACGAGCCATCTCTTGAGTCCATACATCTGTTATGTTCCGTTCTGTATCGTGGTTATGATTATTTTATATTATATGTTAAATGATTTCCGTATCATATATTCTGTATTTTAATATCAAGGTCTATTTAGCCAATAATTATCCATAGTGAATTTTATACCCTTATACTCAGTATAATATTTTTCACTCTGCCATGTGCTTATAGTTGTTTACTACTTTCAAGTGACATGTCAGGGTTAGCGCATGGGATAAGCACAAAGCACTTTGTAGACATAAGTTCAGCTCCGACAATTTAATTAAATAGAAGTTCCGATGATTATTTTGGTACATTCACTTAAATATTATTTCCGCTCGCGTTTATTTATTTGTTCAAGAATTGGCCAGACGTAACTTCAGTTACTGGCCATCACAATACTTAACCCTTGAGTACGGAAAGCGAGTCGTGACATTCTCTCTCCTCTCTCATTTTCAATCACTTTTTCTCTCATATACATCTACTCAATTACAACAAAATATCAAATTATCCCAAACTCCAAAATTTCAAAACTATTTTCAAAATATACAACCAAACAAACTACAAAAATTTCTAAACTTTCTTTCCAAAATATTTTTTGAAAACTTATTTCCCAAGTCAAACCAAACAAGGCCTTCATCTTCTTCTCTCTTTTTTTTCTGAAATCTTGAGGTAAGGAGTTTGTTTGAGTTATATATATAATTTTAGCACTTGTTTGTCCATTTTGTTATGGTTTCCGAGTTTGGGTTTTGAGTTTTGGAGTGTTGGGCCTAGAAAATGTTAGAGAAACACTGCTTGAAGGTATATGCAAGAAAATATTTGGAAATGAAGGAAAACCCTTCTTTTGATCAAACCCTAGGTTTCGAGGCAAATTGGAGAAAAGTGAAATTTGTAAAATATCTATAAAATTATTGTTAAATCTCTTGAAATTTGAAGAAATCTTTCTCATGTTATTATGTTGTCAAGATATCTATGAAAGGGATGAGAGTTGTTGAGAAATTTATGATAACATGTTGTGCATATGTTTATATTATGGAAATGAAAAGAAATGTTAATTGTGAATATGATAAATATCATACGTCACAGGAATTAGGGTCACTGCTGTGCCTTTTACACAACAGTGACTGTTATACCTCAATTTAAGGTGCATTATGGGCTTATTTTTACGAGATGAACCGTTCATTTTATAGAGTTTGTTGAGTATGCCATGCCTACCAAAATCATACTAATCGGATATCAATAACTATATGATTGATAAAAAAAAAATAACAATTAAGTTTTTCTTTTGAGAAATAGCATAAAAAATATGCAATTCGATCATATAATTATTGATATCCGATAAATATGATTTTTGATAGGCATGAAGTACTCAACAAATCCTACAAAATGGATGGTTCAGATTATAAAAATAAGTCCATAATGCACCTCAAATTGAGGTATAACCAAGTTTGAGCCTCAAAATTTGTAACCTTTTAGGCATTTACTTGTTATTTATTCTTGTCATTGTATGATTCGCACATACTATGAATTCAACTTAAGAGGGTTTGAATATGTAATGCATGTAGATCTTTTTTCACAATTCTCATATGAATAAAATATGGATTTAGAGAATTGATTAATCAAATTGGAATTATTTTAAGGAAAATTTAGTCAAAACTCTTCCATTGGACTCTTGCTAACTGAAAAGGACAGTTCAGTTTATTTTACTTCATAAATCCCCTAAAGGGGAGGCACATAATTGAAAAAGGACAAAGTAAAAGTATCATTTTTTTCGTCTTAGACAATATTACCAGAGTAATATGTTATTATGAGATAAAATAACAATGTTATTATCAAAGAGAGTAACATACTATTATTTACATCAATTTCAACGGTAATAATTGCTATTATTTTTTTAAATTTTTTTTATAGTTAACATAAATATTATTTGATAAATCTTGACGAGAAAATTCTAAAAATACTAATTTTATTAAAAACCAATATGTAGATCAAAATTATATTATTTTAAAATTTAATATATTGATAATAATAATAATAAGTATTGGACTTTTTTTTAAAAAAACTTTTTGTATTTATCTTTAATTTATTAAAATTTTATTATGAGAGAATTTTGATCAAAATCCCCTCTATTTTAATGGATGGGATCATCAGTTATTTAATGTCATCTATTTTGGGCGTTATAACTCAATAATGTCAAATAAAATATTAAATAAATTAACAATTTTATCTATCGAAAACTATTTAACTTGTAATTTGGATTAAGCAAACTAAATTAATAATTTTACAGCTAAAAATACAAGAAAAATGATATTTAAATAATTTTTATTATAATTAATTTACTTTTTATTTGATACTTCAATTTAAATTATTTTAATAATTTTTTTATTTCAATGTATATTTAAATAAATTTTAACAGATGTACAAGTACGATAAAATATGCAAAAGAAAAAAAATTTGACAAAGTATATTTTTGAATATATAGATCCCGTATTAAAAGTTGGCTCTAAATTCGAAAAAGCCATGTACATATTACATATAGTTCAGAACATAAAACTTGATGCATTATGATGCTTACACATTTTGGGGATCAAAGCAGGGCCACTTCTTTATTGAAAATCCAGCTGAAGCTCGCTCCATGCGGCTCCATCTTCCGCGCCCTCTCATCGGCTCGCTCCTGCAGCTTCCTAATCCTAGGTGCTAACCCACACACGAAGTCCTGTGCACGCCTTCCCTCAGCATTCAACTCTTCCAGTTTCTCCAATCTCCACCGTCCAATCAAAAATTCGAGAATGTCTGCGTAATCATCGGCAGTGTAAACCCCTAATCTCTGTGCCACTGCAGAGAAGTGCTCGAAGAGCTTTGGGTCACGACCATCGTACATAAGGTGGGCTGGCATGGTGATCTTCTTCCGCATCATGTCTGATATGGCTATCATGGCCCCACTTGGGTCCACCTCGAGGAGCTTCTCGACGATCCGAGCGTAGGCGTTCTCGTGGCGCTTTTCGTCTGATGCGATTGTTCCACATATGCGCGCAAGCACTGGATCCCCGCTCTCCTTGGCTAGGCGCGCCGTGTTGCCGTGAGAGATGAACGTGGCGCGCTCTTGGAATGATGTGTACACGAAGCCCAAGTACGGATTGTTTTCTGTCCCGGGGTCCTGTCGAGCACAAACAATATTATTATATGCATTTTAGTTTTAGGGTTGCAAAATAGGAGGTTTTTAAAAAAAAAAAAAAAATTTTTAGATATTAAAATTTTTTAAAATAAATAATATATAAAATTTTATAAATAGATCATATATTTTTATTAAAGATAAATATATTGAAATCACATGAACATTATTTTAGAACGAATTTGATTTTATAAAAATATATATATATATATATATATATATCTTGAACTCCTTCCACTATACAAACTTAGAAAATGATATTTCACTAATTTTCTTTACAAAATATGATTGAAAAATACTATAAATTTGAGATAATGACATTAATGTTTGTTTTAATAAGATTAAATTTATTAAAATTAATATAAATATGTATGCTAAATATAATGAATTAGAGTGAAATATATATTCTAGTATCAAAAAATTAATAATATCATTTTTTATTTATAAAGTTAACAAATATTAAATTTTATATGAATTAAAACATTAAAAGATTATTACAATTATGTTAAAATTATAAAATTATTTATACTTTTTTCAAAAAATTTAAAAGAGATCAGTGCAATTTACTCAAATAAAATAGGAACAATTACAACAAAAAATATTCCCAAGATTTGAGCATGTAACAAATCAAAGAAAAAAAATATTTAATCATTAAAATATCATTTTATTAAGTTTAATGTCTAAAATACATTAAAAATTTTTTTTTATCCATTTTACTTAATAAAGATAGATAAATATTTAGATTAAAAATAAATCAATATTTTAATTTTTAAATTGATTGAATTTAAAATTGAAGGTTTATTATAAAGCTCAAACCTGGATTATTTTATTTTTTTTTCTTTTTGGTAATTGTTCTAATCAAATATTATATTTCCTTAAACACACAATAGATACCAACTAGGTACTTACCATGCCAGATCCAATTAAGTACTGCACGGTTTTCTCAACCATCAACATATCAACCCGACCCGAGAGATACAAAAACGTTCGGAGCAAATCACCATGGCGCTTCTCCTCCGCAGTCCAGGACCGGGTCCATACGGCCCACGGGCACAAACTCGCCCCGGTCTCATCTCGGACCCCATCAAGCGTGTTGATCATGGTCTGGTACGTGGGCAATGCATCTTCCGTGATCATATCACCCACGAGCACCACAAAGTACTCGTCGGGCAGCCCAGCTGTCCTCTCTCGGAGGGTCCGAACCTCATCGGTGAATGCGTCGAACGGTAATGTCGGGTCGGGTAAGAAATCCTGGGGTTGCCAGCACTGGTCGACGGGCTTGAGGAGGGGTAGGACCCATTGGGAGGCCCAGCTCTCCAGTGACTTGAAGACTTCTATTTTTTCAGGAGGCATTGAGTGGGTCATCTGACGACGTAATCTTGGTGTTGGTGGTGATGCTACGGCGGAGATGGGTTGTAGCCGCCGCCGGAAAGTGAGAGAAGGGTGGTTAGGAGGGGTGGAGAGGTGGTGGTTGAGGATGTGGCCAGGTGGGCTCCATGCTAGAGGGTGGCTGAAGCGTGATAGTACTGAGGACTGCATGGTTAGCCTTTTCACCCCTCTCTCTCTCTCTCGCTATGTCTGTGGTTCTGGGCTGTGCAGAGTTGAGAGCAACAGTGAGGGGGGCTGTTTATATTTATAAGAAATTATGTTATTTATTTGACCTTTCATCTGCTTTATATTACAGTTATGCCACAGAGATCAATTTAGCATGGGATAAATTACAAATACATCTTAAGTTTTGCTTAAATGTTTTGAAAAATTGTAAATATTCCTTTACAAATGAATTGAAAAAATAAAAATTTTAATATTTTTTTATATAATAATAAAATTATTTGATTTATTAATTAAAATATATTTATAACATTGTTAAAAAAATTTAATTGATTTGTTGATTTATTAACAAAAAAGATCATTTATTATGAAATTAAAAATTTTAAAAAGCGAAATGTAATTTCCAGAGCCATAGGACGCAACTCATATTTTATACATTCACCAAAACTTTTTGAAATACAACATAGAATAGTATACTCCCTTAAAACGGTGCCCAAAAAAAAAAAAAAAAAAACTTCTTTCAAAATTATTTTCAAAAATAAAAAATTTGAAAATGAGGAGCTCAATCCATAAATCCATAAATGTTTTTCCATGCTCATGTTTAATCAAAGCGTAAACTTCTTTATCAGTGAAGTTTCTTGAAAATCATATGTGAAGTTTTGAATTGAATTTTATTTTTATACGAATAAAATGATTTATAAGTAAAAGGATTTACAACTACTTTTTATTTGTAATCCATCAGTATTTAAACCGAAATATTTTTTTTAGGAAATAGTGTGGCACTAGTGATATATATTTTTTGTTAATATAAAAAATAAATAAACAAAGGATAAATTACAAATATACCCAATGAGAGATTTGTTTAAAATATAGATTGTCTTATGTGATTTTGAAAATTATAAATACTGTATTGTCAAATTTTTTATTTAACAGCATTAACAGAAAAAAATAAAATTTTTGACTAGTCTCTCTACTATATAATAATAAAATTATTTGAATTGTTAATTAAAATATATTTTTAATATCAGTAAAAATTGTTAATTGACTTGATAATTTATTTATACAATGGTCATTTGTTATATGACTATAAACTTAAAAGAACGGGATATAATTTTTAGAATTACATGAAATAATTTGTATTTTAAATAAATCTCATAAAGTATATTTGTAATTCATTCATAAATAAATAAATATAATGATTTAAAAAGTGTTTTTGTTTGTATTTGACCTGTATGAGGGTTGCTTTAGGAAGTCGGTTAAAAACTAGTACTTTAATTTAAATTTTTTTTAAAATATGTAGAAATATAAAGAGGTGTTGTGATCTAAAAGAGATTAAAAACTAAAAAGTTGGCTTTTAATCTCTTCTTAGAATAGGCCAAAATACATAATACTCTTTCCATCTCAAAATAATATCATTTGGGAAATCTAATTTTTTTTTGGTAATATAATTATTGTAATTTAAAAATATTAATTTTTTAAAATTATTCTTTGATAGTATGTTTTTTAAAGAATATTAATTGTCATAATTATATTTTTTGTGTTATTAATAAATTTTAAAAAAAAAGGTATAATAAAAAATTTATATCATTTTAATTTTTAATTTTTTTAAAAAATTATTATTATTTTTTTGATAATGGGTTGTCTTGCGCTATTTTACTTAAGAGACTAATATTTTAAAACAAGAGGAAATAATTGGAGGTATGTTGTTGTGTTGGTGAAACTATGGGTGCAGTGGTTTTGAGAGAGAGAGAGAGAGAGATTTAAGAAGAGCAAAACTGTGGGTCAAAAAAAAAGGGGGGCAGTTATGTAGAAAGTGAGTGAGGTGAGGTGGGAAGATCTGATTATACCTTGGCGCATGTGTTTGAATTGCTTGCTGGGTTTGTGACACACACGGTATATATACATCCAAACATCAAAAACATTCAATCTTAAAAAAACATCAAAAACATTCAATCTTAAAAAAACATCAAAAACATGTTTGGCAGCAAAACCAACTAACCTCTTTAATTATATTATATGTATGCCCTTTTTTCTTTTCTTTATTTTGTTTTGAGCAAAAAATATATATAAAAATTGTTAAAAAATTATCTACTATTTTACTCTTTGCATGAGACGCCCACAACACATGTAAAAGAGAAAGTGATAGATACATTTGTTTTTAATTTTTTATTTATATTTATAAAAATTTTATAAACTCAAATAAAATTTATTTAGTAAAATTTTTGATTTATAAATCAGTGGTCTCAGTTTATAAATTTGGCCAAAAACTGTAAACTCAAAAAATGTGTTTACGTTTTGAGTTTTGAGTTTTTTTTTTTTTTCCCCCCCACCCCCGCCCCCATCCCCCCCCCTTTTAGCACCGTAACCAGCCAGTAATCCGTGATTACCGAAAACCTGCTTAACAGTCAAACAATAATACAGAGTATAGGGGCATGACGGAAGCCAAAACAGTAAATAGACAATGTCCAATGAGCTGTGACAGTCTGTATACAAAAAGACTCTTCATACATATATACAATCAGTGCGAAACAGTTTGTACAATATTTACAATTATCCAGGTCAGGGACTTAATCCCTATTAAGACAGGACAGTACAGTGTTATCAGTCTATACAATAATACAAAGCAGATACAAAGACAGACAGGGGAAATTAAAACACTCCTAAGCCATAGCTTAAACGGGCTCAGAACCTCGCAGTGAGGCACATAGGTTGGCTTGACAAAACTGGAGTTAACCCCGACGTTTCTAGCAACGGTCCGGTGCCTGAATACCTACATATATATATGAGCAATGAGCTAAAGCCCAGTAAATAACATAATGCATAAAGAGGTTAAGAATGAATGTCCTTACAGTATTGAAAGCAGTCAATTCAATCAGTATATCAGTTATTCAGTCATTACAGTCATATGTGGTACATCCAGTAGCAAAACAGCACAGTAGGTCTTATCAGACCGAACAGTCAGTTGATGGCCATCATATCAGTAAACAGTAGTGGTTCCAACATGGGAACCGACAGAGATCTCTGTAACAGCCTTATCGGCGTCCGAATCAGAAATTGACTTGATTTATGTGCTAGTTAGGATTTATTTGTTTAAAATTCGGTTCGAAACGATTAAATTTGATTAAAATAATACCTTTGATTAGTTTTGTTAAATTACCTTATAAGCCCATTTTGACCCCACTAAGCCACATCGCCCGCAACCGCCCGCACATTTGCAAACCCTATCCGCACAAACCGCAAACCGCACTGCGGGCGGTTGCGGGTTGACTTTTTCCCAAACCGCATAGATGTGGGCGGGTCAAAACCGAATCGCAAACCGCACAAAACCGATCCGCGCACACCCCTACCCACCACCACCCACCACCCGCCACCGTCACCCACCTACCCACCACCACCACCCACCCGCCACCACCCACTACCACCCGCTACCCACCACCTACCGTCACCACTTTTCACCACCGTCTTTCGCCTCCACTTGCCATTTCTTACTCTTTTTTAAATTTTTAAATTTTTTTTAAACATTTTGTCAATTACCAAATACGTTTATAGTTTATGTTTTTCTAAAAATAAACAAAAAATAAACAAAAATCAATTTATAAAATTTTTGTAAATATAATCTGAAAATGTAAATGTTACCAAACAGACCATTTTAATTTATTTTTTATTTTGTTTTTATTTTATTTATTTATTTTTTTGATAATGGGTTGTCTTGCGCTATTTTACTTGACACAACTTGTGCAACTCAAATTGCAAGTCTTTGATTAGCTACAACAACTGCAATTGCAACTTGTGCACTCAAACTGACTAAATTTACAAAAATGTTCACTAACAATAAAAATTTGGGTGCAACTTGGGCGCCTCAATCTTACTCCAATTTGAATTTTTTTTAATTTAATAATATGTTTTTAAATTTGACAAAAAAAAATTAGATAATAAATTTAGAAGCCCAAATTGTATAAGTTGAGCTTGGGCAGAGATATTAGGCAACCCAAGTTGTATTTATAAATATATAAAAATATTATAGATTATAAATTATTAGTCATTGGATATATTACAATAATTAAAACCATTAAATCATATTCCCTACGTATAATCCTTCCATTCCAAAAGAATAATTCCTTTTGGGAAATTTAATTTTTTTTAGTAATACAATTATTACACTTTAAAAATATTAATTTTTTAAAATTATTCTTTGATAGTACAATTTTTTAAAAATATCAATTGTCATAATTACACTTTTTGTATTATTAATGAATTTAAAAGAATGACAAAATAAGAAATTCATATTTTTTAATCATTGATTTTTCAAAAGGGACTAATATTTTGAAACAATGAAAAATGAAACAAGACTAATTTTGTAATAGTTGAATATGACATATTAGAGTGTTATTTATGACTTGGCTATATATATTGTGGTATTAGTTAGAACATTATTTTAATTATGATCCAAGAGTTCTTTAATTATACTTTATGTAGTTTTTGGTTATAATTATCTCCTTTTTTTAGTTATAACTCTCATAAGATTGAACTATAACATTTGTGAAAATCAATCTAACAAATATCATAATTTACCTATGATAATGACCCATACAATTAACACAACACAAAACATTGCCCTTTCTTTTTGCCTCTCAAAATTGTCAAACACAACCTCTCTTCGCACTATCTCCTCATATTTAAATTATGGGTCGAGCTTGTCTCCATTTGGAGAACAAGACTGGATCGTTCAGTCCGGTCTATGAGTCCATTTTGGGTCTCTTTTTGATAATTTGAACCGTTCAATGTGTAAAACTCATCGAGTACTATATTCTTGTAAAAAAATCACATTGATCGGATATCGATAGCTATTTGATCGGATCAGATTTCTGTCAACCGTTTATTTTTTTATCTTTCATTTTTTTATACAAAACTGATATGATCAAATAGCTATCGATATCCGATCAATGTGATTGTTTACAACAATATAGTACTTGACGATTAAACGGTTCAGATTATCAAAACGGAACCCAAAAATGAACCCACAAGTCGGACTAGATGGTCCAGTCTT